CCAAGAGGGCATGGCCCTGCCAACACCTTGATTTTGGACCTCTGGCCTCCAGAACTGAGAGAATACATTTCTATTGTTTTAAGTCACTCACTTCATGATAATTTATTACAGCTGCCACAGAAAACTAATACAGGTTGGGTCTGAAAATTTGCATTTTTTTATCCCTTCCAGGTGCTGCTGCAGCTGCTGATCTGGGACCCCCACCTGAGGACTGTAATGAAGCACTGGAAACAATGTGGGGATTAACTCTCCACCCATAGCTCCTCTGGACAGGATGCCTGTAGGCTGCATGTGTCCAAAACTCCCTTTTAGAAGGTGAGAGACCGATTTAGCCAAAGGCCCAAGAGTAAATTTGTAAGCCAAGTGACATAAATATTTTTCTTTTGATGCCACCCACTAACACAGGAACTAATCTATTCTAATAAAGTATCTGCAGAGACATGGATATTGCCCTCCAAAGACGTTCAGAAATATTTTCATACAAAATTTCTAATGGAATCAAAGGTAACTGCTGAAACAATGCCCAGCTTCTCTGCCAAACTCAGTTTCCCTGAGATGGGCACACAGGCAGTAGCCCCAGGCTCCAGGCCTGTCCCTCTACTCCCGCAAACCTCTCCACACAGGTGGACAAGCCCTGTCCCAATTACAAAGAAACTCGGTGAAAAAAATGAAATTCGCCACACTTGAAAAGGCAGAGAGGCACTGGCCATTTTAAATCTCAAAAACCACTCCACAGAACTAGGGGAAAGATTAGTAGGCCCTTAAGCTATTCTGTAATTCGGAAAAGAAAGAATATTGACTTTCTAAAATCGATTCCTGCAGAGAAGATTTTGGCTACTGCATTTCTTAATATGCACATCGATACTGCTGGCTGAACTGATAAATGCTAGAAAACCCCGAAGGTTGTTAAAAATTCAATTTCTAGCTTCTCCCTGCTGGGGCACAGGCTGCATGACAAGCCAATTCTCCTTGAAGGATTTGCAAAATGAACCCCAAACAGGCCAAACATAATCTGGCAATTAAAACAATGTGGTATGAACTCTCAGTTAATGACTCCTCTGTAGTGGGCACATAGGGAGGCTTTGCATGTCCACAGAGAAGTGTGCATGTTTGCTGTGCCTCCTCACGTGTAAGAATAGACACTATATTAGAAACCACAGAAGAATCGTGCACCCTTAAACGTATCAGAATGGGACCAGCCAGCCAGGGATGAAAGATGGCGGACTTCATGCTAGAAGTGTCAACCTCATTCTCTGGTTTATTTCAGCAAAGGCTGGGAGCAGCAGTTGACTGTACATGACCTGTTCGCTAAAAAGTCTGACCACGACCAGAAAAATTTCACTGCAGTTTTCTTCTCAGCTCCAGGTGAAAAAAGATCCTGAAGCACCTGCACCTATTTCTGGAGAAGATGCCAGAGGGAGGCTCAGTGCTATTTTCTGCAGTTTAAGCCAGCACTGGTCCCAGGCACAATACCCGGTACCCCAGAACTTGAGGAAGTATAACAACAAAAATCAATAAAACCCTCTCTCATGAGCACTCGTGCTCTCAGCAGGATCCCCTTTGTGCACATTACCTTATGTCCCAGCTGAGCAGCTTCTCCCCGAGCTGCTGTGGCGATGGGATCGATAAGGTGCCCGATTTCCTGGACCACCGAAGTCAGCTGCTCCTGGAGGGCCTAAGGAGAGAATTGTCAAGTTCATTCTGTAATGGCTCCCCATGGAGCTGCACCAATTCAAAAGGCCCATATGAAAGGCGAGAGAGGCCATGTAAAATGCCTGGATGCATCATGAAGCCTGCCCTGCTCCTCGCAGTGACACCTCAGCCCCCTTGGGCTGGACCCCTCCACAGTTCCTCCTGAGAGAGACAAGAGGCAAGCCTGAGAGTCACCTCCTATTGGCTTCCAGCTCCTGCCAGCCCTAACAGCTGATGCTACTGATATCTTTACTTGAGGTTATTCAACATAATTGCTGGAAATGTAGGACAGCCGTGCCTTTCCAAGAAAGAAAGACAACTTCATCCAAATGGAAACAGCTAATGATGGGGTCTGAGGGAACATCCAGGTTGCTGTGTTCTCAAAACTTAAGGGGGGAGTGGAGAGGAGGGTGATGAAAAAATGAGATCAACTTTCTGAAAGCAGGACTACTTCCCAAACAGTGCACAATAAAAATGCCAGGTGAGATGCCTATCAGCTCAGACTCCCAGCTCACTGTATTTGGTGGTGTGCATGAAGATATTTGCAATGGGGCTGGCTGGTTAGCTCAGTTGGTTAGAGTGTGGTGCTGGTAACACCAAGGACCAGGGTTCCATCCCTGTACTGGCCAGCTGCCAAAAAAAAAAAAAAAAAGAGAGAGAGAGAGAAAGAGAAAAGAAAATGACACCCTCAAGGCATTTCTTCTCAGGTTTGAGAGAGGGTTTAGTTTCTCAGTCCCAAAGATCTGAACTCATACTGTAAAGAGACAGAGCAAGATAGCTAAATGATACTGGGAGTGTGAGGTGGGTGGGGAATTCAAGGGTGGAGATTACAGATTGAGCATCCCAAATCTGAAAATCCAAAATGCTCCAAAATCTGAAACTTTTTTTTTTTTTTTTTGTCCTTTTTGAGACCGGCCGCACCGTGCTCAGCCAGTGAGCGCACCGGCCATCCCTATATAGGATCCGAACCTGTGGCGGGAGCATGAAGTCTGCCATCTTTCATCCCTGGCTGGCTGGTCCCGAGTGCGCCACAGGCTCGGCCCTAAAATCTGAAACTTTTTGAGTGCCAGTGTGACACTCAAAGGAAAGGTACATTGGAGCATTTCAGATTTCTAGATTCCAGATGCTCAACCAGTATGTATAATGCAACTATCTGAAATTTTAAAAAAATCCAAAATTTGAAATACTTCTGGTCCCAAGCATTTCAGACAAAGGATACTAAAACTGTATTAACTAGTAGCAGATAAGCTCAGGTCCCTTTGCAGGACTCTTCACGGGTGCTCCACTTGATAGATTCAGGATTAATAGATAGAACACTAGGCATTTTAGGTCTATACACACCAGCATGGTATTGGGTGATTTCTAACAAAGTGACAATCTCCTGCTTATCAGAAATGAGACTCTAACCTTTGCTACTTTCCCACAGGACAACGCCGCATGTGGGTTGGAGGGCTTTGGGCAGAGCTTACTCAATGAGAGGAGCAGCACAACATGCAAACTTAAAAACAAAATTCTGGAAAAGTAAAGGAAAAAGATGAAAAATAAAGATAGATGGGGGTAGATAGAAAGAAAGTTTCAAAAAGTCCAAGGATCTTATTTAGTTAATTACTCATCATCTTAGTCAAGAATGCAAGAATATTCCAGCAATGTGTCTTATTACAGATTGCTTATTAAATTAAATATGGTAAGACTAAGGAGCACATGCAAGTACAGCAGAGGAATTTTCTTCCAAGTGAGGAAGTCAAGATAAAGGTAGACTTTAGGAGGGATGGTGAAAGGATGGATACACAAGGGGACTTCTGAGGTGCTGGTCATCTTTATTTCTTGCTTTGGGTGCTAGTTAAAGATCACATTTAGTTGGTGATAATTCATCAAGCTGTTCACTTATACACACTTGTCTGTACCCATATTTTACTTTAATAACAGGCCAAAAATAGTAATTCTAGCATTTTGGTCAGGATGAGAGAAATTGGAGGTGAAGCTGGAGCTCTATTAATAAAAACGAACAATACCAACTATGGGCCAAAGCTCATCATTAATAAAATCAGTGGCAGTAAATTAAGCATCAATAAACTGACCACACATATTTACTAAGCACCTTCTGAATGTCAGGCACTGTGCTTTCAGTAAAGAGAGAAGTATGAATCAGGAGCCTTTGGAAAGGTAATAGAAAAAAACTCAAAGGAAAAAAGGAAAATTCTAAACTCTGGAAAAACTGGCGAGAAAGGGCACAAAGTGGCACTGAATTAATAACAAAATGCCAAAGGTCCCCAAATGCTAGATACTAAATAACGCAGGGAAAAATCCTTTACCTCTGAATGAACAAAACGCCTAGATGTTCAACTGAATATGGTAATCCCACCTGACTGACATACTCTAAATGATCTGATATTGATCATTTCCCCCTGAATCTCCACCACATTTGAACTTCCCAGCCCTACTAGGATGGGTATTCCCTCCCAACACCGTGCTTTTCTACTCAGCCTCTGCCTTCCTCTCTCCAGAAACTCCCCAGGTTGGTTCCACAGGGGAAGGCAGTCTAAGGCAGTGAAACTCTGGCATCACAAACATTTTGGCCCCACCTCTCCCACTCCCCAAAGCCTGATGCTGAGATTCTTCAACCCCTCCGGAGGCTTCTGAGCTGCCCGGGGGCCCCAGCTTACCTCCACAGAGATGTCATCCCTTGTGGCCAGGCTCTGGCTCACAGCTGCAAGGGAGGCCTGCTCAATGTCCCGGATGCACCGGTTGATGCCATCGATGGAGTAGTCACACTCCCGCTGTCCAGGGGCCTTGTCCCTGGAAGGGACAATGCAAGTCAAACACAGGCTCCTTGAGCGAGCTCTAGTCCCACAACTTGCTCCAGCACTGGTAGGCCAGGAGCCCCTGTCCACTCCTTACCCCAGTTCATCACCTTATTTAAGGAGTGAATCCCTGACCCTTTGCTTGGCAAAGCCTCACTGTATAGCCCATGCATTCTTAATTTAACACTTGAAATAACTACTTATTTCTGGTGGAAAGGTTACAGTGCTGCCCTCATCTCAGGCTGATGCTAGGCAACTGCAAAGGAAACAATTTGGACTTGGATTCTTCATTGACTGGCTTAAGGATAGGACTCTTACTTAAAACAAACAAACAAAAAGTTCAGCACTGTTTCCAGTGCAAACATATTATGCTCTCTCCATTGCATACTAGTCACAACGTCCTGTGCTGTGGTAGGAATTAAAGTATTCAGTGAATTTTTCTTTTCAAGAAAGCAAACTGTGGTTTTGAGTTTCAAAAAATACTGGGAAGCAAAATATAACTAAGGAAAGAGATGCATTTTGTGCTGTGGGATACTAATTTTGGTCAACTTCAGAAATGTTCTATCTACTCAGGGGATGTTTTTTCAGGATCTTACTATCACCAAAGAGGTTGGAGATACCTCAAGTTACTGTGGGCCCTAGAATATTCTGTCTTATTAGCAAAGTTAAAGATAACTCCAAATCCTGCTAAATAAACAATGGTGCTCTTTACCTAAGCTCCTAGGTATACACAAAGTGATACAATGGTTACAAGGAATGGTTACATTGGGCTTGGGGGTGACGTTGGGAATGTTTCCTAAATCCTTTCTGCCTAAATTTTTCATTAGTACAATGGAAACAATGGTGGTACCTAACTTACAAGACTGCTGTGATGATCAAATAAGGTAATACAGGTAAAATACTCGGAATAATATCTGGCATACAATAATTGCTTAAGTTGGCTATTATTGTTGTGACCAAGGATACCACTGGTCCCAAAGAGGTAAAGAAAAAGATGATGATGCACAGCATCGCTATGAAGTAAAAAGCCTGGTGGACTCTTCCTGCCACCCTGTTCAGATGCAGGTGAGGAGCAAGCTCTGGATGGGAAACTGACCTGATAGACGTGATGAGACTCTTGATGGAGTCAGACACAGTATGGGAATGTCCGGCCAGCACAGACCAGGTGGGCGGGTCTTTAGGGTTGATGGCCAGAGAGCGTGCAGTGCGGATGAGGTACGATGAGCTTTCCAGCATGGTCTTGGCCGAGACCAGGATTGGTTCCTGTGCCTGGGAGCCCTGAAACCAAACAGCAGAGGGGTCAAGGGAAGGCATGCAGAGAGTACATGAGTTGGGCCCTGGAAGGTCCTGCTCTTTACCAAGTCACCACCTTTGCCCTTTGGAAGAAGACAAAGGCAGGGAATCACATAGGGTGGCTTACACAGGGTCTGGATGGTGGGGACTAGGGTCCATATTCACTCCTTAAATAGCATTTTTGAGTGTGACACATCCCCGGAAATAATGAGCCCCAAACCTATGCAGAGAGATTGTTCTCAATACATAAGGCTAAGCTATCTCTCAAGAAATGTGTAGTTATTGAGTTTAACTCTGTGCACATAACATTGTTGTCAATAACAACAGTACCCTACATACTGAGATAGTACTTGTGGAGTTTAACTATTCATGCTCACTCAGTGCCACACCAAATTAACTCAAGACCCCAGAATTACCTTTGCTGCAAAAACTGCTTACCTCGGAGCTGATCTGGGCGGGAATGCTGACAAACTCCGGGTTTGATGCAAACGCCGTAAGGTTCTCCACGGCTTCAATCAAGGGCGCCGTAGCAATGCGACACTTATTGCGGTTGTCTTCAGAGAAATCCCCATCCAGGGCCTGATGGGAGAAAACACAGAGATTTCACCCCACTGAGAAGCACAGAACATTCCTGAACCACAGCAACCACCGCCCAGGGAAGGAAGGTGGTTCAATGGGAATACTGAAAATGTTTGGGGTATTTATAAACAATAAATACGGGCTGATTGGAGAGACACCTGCCATGAAGTAGAGGGCCAGGTTAGCAATGGCAGGGAGTAAAGCAGAATGTGCAGCTCCCAGGATGGCTGGCCTCACACTCAGTCAGCTTCCCACTCACAGGAAGCAGAAACATGAGGTCAGAGTCAGATAGTGCCCGGCATGTCACTCCCTATAAGCCATTCTATTGGATCCTGCAGCTAAACCACTTTCTTCCCCCTGTTTGAGACTATAATTCTTCGGTTCCTCTCCTCCATTTTCACTCAGATGAAGTCTATTCCCTCCCAAATGATAAAAATACTTAACATTGCATAGCACTTTTAACTCTAAGTTTTACCTGGGTGTCTCTGAATGACAATCAGAGGTAGGGCTGGGATATTTTGAAATGAACACAATGGAATCCAATGGGAAGGACCAGAGTAGAACTGCCCACAACCATATGGACAGATCTCACAAACATAATATACATTTAATTAAAGAGGCCTGACACAAAGGGGTACTTATGGTAGGACGCCTTTCATGCAAAGCACAAACAGAAGTAATCTAGGGTATCAAAAGTCAGGTCAGCCTCTGGAGCAGGTAAGAGTGGGGCGAGCACAAGAGGTTTTCTGGGTGCTGATAACATCGTGTTTCTTCACTTGGCTATCATTACCTGGGTGTGTTCAGCTTGAGAACATACACTGAGCTCTACATATGAGATGCATTTTCTCTTCTATGTATCTTATGACTCACATTTTTTTTTTATTAGCAGCAAGTAACCCAATGGCATTGAGTGATCAGTCATGTTGCTGATTAATGGCCTAGACAGATAAGAATTCAGGTATGTGTCCTGTGATCCACGCCACGCTCACAAAGTGTTAACACTTGGATTCGAGGTGCCTCAGCCCCGGACTCCATGTCCTCAAAAATAAGACTGTTAGAATCCAACAGCCTGTGACCCAACAGCAGCGTCCCTGCTCCCAGAAAAGGGCTACATTCAAGGAGGCAGTTATGGTTGCAGACACAGGTAGATTTCCTTGCTAAGTGACCAAACTTTTAATTTAACCCATATGAGCAATATATAAAAGCCAATTTAAACAATTAGTGAGCAAAAAACAGAGACACCAGCACTACGAAACAAACTGGATCTGAGAGGGGGACTTCTGTTTTTCAATAAAGCAAGAGGAGGCAGACACGGTTGGTTTGGAGACTGTTTCTGAATAACAACTTACATTCCAATCACGCCTTGGCAGCACGGGATAATAATTACACAACCACAATGCTAATATTTTCAGTGGAATTCCCACAAGCCTGGCTAAGTTACCATCTTCACTAATAAGGTACCTGGCTGGCCTTGGCTCACACCCTTCCCCCCAAGACAGGCACTGACCCTGCCCTAACTTCTGCAATTCTGCATTCTTCCAGGCACAGTGGAAACCCTACATGCCTGCTCCTTTTTATTCACATACACAGCTTCATTTCCAGCTGCCACTTAGATACTTAGTAGACATGGATTTCCACTGCTCACACTGGGCGTATAGATGTGAACTGTCTTGGCACTTGAATCTTGTGCGCCATTAATGGCACTGATTCCTTGAGGTTGGGCTCCACCAGGCTTCAGAACAATTTGGGAACACCCTAACAGTAGGAGGTAGCATGGGTGCCACCTACCAGGAGCCTGACACAAGTGGCCCCAGCAGAGGCAAAGTGAAACAGGCAGATGGCAAGAGCAGTGTGAACTGTCTTGGCACTTGAATCTTGTGCGCCATTAATGTCGCTGATTCCTTGAGGTTGGGCTCCACCAGGCTTCAGAACAATTTGGGAACACCCTAACAGTAGGAGGTAGCATGGGTGCCACCTAGCAGGAGCCTGACACAAGTGGCCCCAGCAGAGGCAAAGTGAAACAGGCAGATGGCAAGAGCAGACTCTGCATTCAACGGCACTCAGGTCCCAGCTCCACCAGTGGCTGCGTGACCTTTTCCCATCACACCCCTTCAGCTGGGAGGACGCGGCTTCTGGCTTCACAGGAGATGATCACCCTTCCCTTGGTGCTGGTCACCTTCCCGCTTCTTACCTCTCCACACTCTTCCCGTTCCCTTTTCTACCTCCCACAACCATCTCAGTCTATTAGGAAGGAAGGCATCTATCTGACCAAGTCACCAACCTTAGTTGAATTTATTCAAACTGAAAAGATAAATCTAGGTAAAATCTCAAGGAATGCTTTCCTAATTGGGCAGCTTCATACACTACACCAATAGGATGAAGAAGGGATTTTTTTTTTTTTTCATAGACTTTGAGGGTTACAAAGAACCTTAAGGACAAATTAATCCTAAACCCCCAATTTTCCAGATGATAAAACCAATACGTGGAAAGTGACATGCTTTGCTAATAAGTACACCTTGCTACGTACTGACACGCCTCAAACAGAATTCCAACCCCTGGCTCCCTGCTCTGCCACTGACCTTAGTCAAAAGAATCAAGAATAAGAAATAAGCCCAGAACAGACTTACTTTACCAACCCAAACATAAGGATGACCAAGAAAACATACTTACAGCCAAGTCAAATTCGCTCACAGAGCGCTGGATCGGGTGTCTGTGGTACACACTGGAAGTGCTTAAATGCAAAACCCTGAGCTTTAACTCCGCTGCGAGGGGCAAGGCCAAACTTCGACTCCTCAGAAAAACAAAAGCTGGTGTTGCATAATTTCTACTTGGCACCCAAACCTGAGTGACTGCACATTTAAAATAACATTCCATTCCACACATCAGATTCAAGCTAGGTAACGAGCTGACTGAAGAGAGAAAAGCAGGCAACTTGTGTATGTGTAACCTGCAGAGACAGCAGCCATGGTTGAGGGGGTGTCCTCCTAATTTGCCTGGCACTCAGAGCAATCCTGGCAGGTAGTACGAATGCAGAAAAGGATCCTGAGCCGAGCTTTGGGGTTTTAAAGAATGCCATCCGCAGAGATTTAAGAAACATGGGTGCATACGTTCTACGTGGGTGCTGGAAAGTCACTGTAAGTCAATCCGCTCCTGCCCCCGGGAGCTTCTGCCCGTTCCCTCCCTTCAGCTGGAATTTAGGCTTGGGCATATCCTCACAGTTAAAAGAAAAAAAAAAAAAAAAAGNCAGGAGCCTGACACAAGTGGCCCCAGCAGAGGCAAAGTGAAACAGGCAGATGGCAAGAGCAGACTCTGCATTCAACGGCACTCAGGTCCCAGCTCCACCAGTGGCTGCGTGACCTTTTCCCATCACACCCCTTCAGCTGGGAGGACGCGGCTTCTGGCTTCACAGGAGATGATCACCCTTCCCTTGGTGCTGGTCACCTTCCCGCTTCTTACCTCTCCACACTCTTCCCGTTCCCTTTTCTACCTCCCACAACCATCTCAGTCTATTAGGAAGGAAGGCATCTATCTGACCAAGTCACCAACCTTAGTTGAATTTATTCAAACTGAAAAGATAAATCTAGGTAAAATCTCAAGGAATGCTTTCCTAATTGGGCAGCTTCATACACTACACCAATAGGATGAAGAAGGGATTTTTTTTTTTTTTTTAACATAGGCTCCCAAATCACAAATCATGTAGCCCACTGCTATTCACAGGACAGAGCCTTGAATAACATGGACTCGAATGCCTAGCTACCTCAACCACTTTTTTTCCTTCTGCAAAAAGAAAGTTATTTTCTCCAAAGGAGGCATTTAGCACCAGAAAGAATGTTTTGCCCAGATAGTATTTCACTTCTGAATTCTGCTTCCCCTGGGCATGGCTGGGCCACCTAAGTAGACTGAATACTCAAATCTGCCCAATGGTGAAATTTTAGGCAGGCATGAGTTTCCTGTTTTAGAGTGTCTAGTACAACAGCCATAATGATGAGAGGGTGAATTCACTTAGCCACCTGTGCAGGCCTCATCAGGACTAGGGCACTCCCAGCCCCAGGGCCAGCTCCTCTGAGTGTTCTCACTAAGCAAAATCTCACAGGGATCTGGGTGAAACAATTTCTGTGTGTGCACAAGAATTAGAGGCATAGACTTTGAGGGTTACAAAGAACCNCTCACAGTTAAAAGGAAAAAAAAAAAAAAAAATCCCAACACTAAGAAGCATAAGACTTAGAGCAAAATGCAGCTATGACAACAGCTATCTTAAATATTTAGGGAACTACATATTTATTTGTTTTTCTGTTTGACAGTATATATAACCATTCCTTCAAATAAGAAATCTACTCAGTATATCATACAGTGCGCTACAGTGAAATGACCGTCACCGCTTTCCTATTAGTAAATTAAAAATGAAGCTCATCGTTCTGGCAAACCCTGCCACACAATGGGAATCGAAAAACCAGGCACATTTCAACAAGTTGGGGGGTGATATGCTCATTTTTGTCCCTCTTGCTTTGCTGCTGGTTCCCAGGGTGCTCACGGGAGACAGGCCTTTATCTTGTCCACATTATAATCACCCTACATTCCTCCTCTGATGTTTCTGCACAGGCCTATCTTTAAGGCTATCACAAAAGCTCATTTGCTGCAGGGAACTGCAAAGAGGGTTTGGTACTGTGAGTGGAATCTGAAAAGAAGATGAGATCTTAACAGAGATGCTTTATATAGAGA